GTGGTTTGAATCCACCAGATGCCCACCTGGAGAAGGAGGGGCAATCTCCTCCTGTACCAGTCAGATCCGATTTGACGGTACACACATACAAAATAATAAAATAAAAATGAAAAAAGAAATTAAATACAGTTATTACAGAACACATCAATTTTTAACACTTATTTACTAAGATGTCCTTTCTTGGAATATTGTCATGGTCAAGAGAATTCTATTTTCATAAAATGAAATCTTTCTATAACTTCACAGATCTAGTGAGGTCTCCGTCACCTCCCCAGGTACTGTGTGACTCCTTCTCCTGGTTACACCCAAGCTTTGCCACCCCGTCGACAGAGATGAAGGCAATCATAACATTACTGCTTCACATGGCTTGGGGGAATCCAGTGGGAAAGCCCACAGCACACTGATCCGTGAGACGCTCACTTTTCCTCTGTGCCTGAGCTTCTACAGAGCAGGATGCCAGCACACCACTGAGTGCCTGCTGGGCACTGGGCATCCTGCCAGGCAGTGACATGTTGGTTCTGACGTGCATGTGGTTAGCAGTGGAGGAAGAGACAGAGGTTCAGAGAGGCCAAGGAGGTCACCTACGGTCAGGATGCAATATCAGACGAAGCTGGGCCGTGTGAATGTGGTCTTTGCTCCACCAAGTACACACACCAAGCTGGTCTTCCTCCTAGGGCCCCCTCACCCTGCCCCTTCCCACCAGAATGAGAATATTCCCCTGCACAACAAACGTCTTGGTCCACCCAGGGCAGGAGGTGAGAAGCAGCGTCACAGTCATTGCCTCGAGTTTTGTGCTAAGAGATTTACTCTTAGAAGAAAGGTATGACTCATTCAAGAGATGTGAGCCTGTGTTTTCCCTGCCTGTGTGAGCTGACCTCTAACGGAGGCCTGAGCCGCGGTCTCGGGACAGATACGTCTTGACTTGTCTGTACTGGCTGTTGGAGACTCCCTCGAGAAAGTCCCACTGCCTCACGTCAGTCTGAGGGAATTTTACGTCAGTAGTAGACCCGCCAGAAAGTTTGTTTCTTAAACATAAATCTCCAAAAGGCCATCAATATTTATTATGTTCACTGATGGGGCTTTATAAGCGCTTAGGACAGCGTCTTGTGTACACTGATGCTCTGTAATTGTGTACTGAATGGATGGGTTTACAGTCACGGAGTCATCGTGCTTCTTCACACAGGAGGCTTCAGTTGGTTATTTTAAAGTGAGGTTTTAAAAAGGAAAAGGAAAAGAAATGAGTATAGTTTAATCAGAAAAATGACCATTTAAAAAAAATTATTATTTTGTGTGTGTATGTACCGTTAAATTGGATCTCACTGGTACAAGAGGGGATTGTCCCTCCTTCTCCAGCAGAGCACCTGGTGGGAAAATGACCATTTTTTAAGGTGGAACCTGATACCATCGCACGATACGCCGGGAGTCAAGCTAGCCATTCCAGGTACTCCCTTGTCCTGTGCACATCTCCTCCACATGCTGTCCACCTTTCGGTCTGGTCTATTCGTCGGTGGATGTGATAGTGATTAATAATGGGTGGTGTTGTAGATTAAATGTGACCCACAAAATATGTCCTGGAATCCTAATCCTTCCACCTTTGAATGGAATCCTATTTGGAAATAGGGTTTTCTCTAGCTTGTTGATCAAGTCTCAGCCACATTGCCCATGTTGTAAACCTAATCAGATTATTGACGGAGACACATCAGTGGGGGTTGAGAGGCCCTGTGAGAATCGTCTACAAGGCTAGGAACTTGGGAACATTAGGACAAACGACAAAGAAGGAATCAACTCAGCTTCCTGAACTGGGAGGAAATAAATTTCTATTCTCCAGAACCATGTACTTATGGTATTTCTGTCTTAGCAGTACTAGGAAACTAAAGACAGGTGGTGAGAATAAACATCCTATCCTAACACAGCGACTTTTTACCTGGAGTCCTGTGGAAAAAACTGGGCCGTGCTTGGCAGGGAATTTTCCACACAGAGCTATTCCATAAATGTTTATGGGCACATGTGAAGATATGATGATGGCATGGGCTTAAAATAAAGGACTGACACAGGTAGTGGCAATACGGAGAGAGTAGGAAGATTGGGAGAGGGGATTTTGAATAGGGCAGTCTATACCCATCTCAAGCCGGTACCAAGACACTCCCTGTGTTTTCTTGCCTTAACAGTTTGGCATATTTGTGTCATGTTGATGTTAGGGGTGTCTAATTGAGTTCCAATTTGTTGTGTGTTGTCAAGTTGGGCCTGACTCACTGATGCTCAGTGGGCTTTTAGAAGCCATAGATTTTATGTGAGGAAATTGCTCAAATTTCTTCCATGGAACTGCCTGCCTTTGGGTTGGCAGTGCAACCCTTTACCCACTAGACCAGCAGAGCACTGACCTCATATATCAGAGTAGAACTACTCTTCACTTCTTTCTACTACAGAGTCCTTGAGCAAGATTGAACCACCAGCCTTTTAGTTAGCAGGCTAGGCACTTAACCATTATATCACCAGGGCTCCATTTCTTATTAAAAGCTGAAACCACAGTAGCAAATGAAAAGAACATGCTATGTGTCATAGATGTTCAGGCAGAGTTGGAGCCATACGTATGTCCGTGCATGTACACTTACAGGAAAAGAACCCCTGATTCATTATTTCCCAGAAAGTCTTTCTTGCTTCCCCCTGTCCATTTTTACTTCACAAGGAAGAGTAGGCATGTACAAGGAGAACAGATTCTTCTTTTAGCAACACCAAGATGTGTGATGGTGATGCCTCCACTAGTGGTTAAATGTTGTTGTTGTTGTTGTTATGTGCCGTTGAGTCGTTTCCGACTCAAATGCCTCCTTAAAAAAACACACAACATGGTGAGGAAGCTCTGGTGGCCTAGTGGCAAGAAGCTGCACTGCAGTCCCAGAAGTACATGCTTTGAATCCACCAGATGCTCTGCTGGAGAAGGAGGGGCAATCTCCTCCTGTACCAGTCAGATCCGATTTGACGGTACACACACAAAGAAATAATAAAATAAGTTAAAAAAAGACCCCATCTATGGTAGATAATTAACACTGTAATAGAACAGATAGTGGGAAGAACTGTCCAGAAAGGATATAGGTTTAGGTGTTACATGTGTGACAGCAATCTAGAGCAAGGGATGCCTTGCACGGTGGTCTAGGGAGGGGAAGGGGAGGAAAGATAATGTGCAATAGTGAACAACAACAACAGCAATATTATTTAAAACAAACAAACAAACAAACAAACAAACAAACCATGGTCCCAATGAAAGTCCAACCCCTCCAAGTCTAGAGACTTAGTAGGTAAAGCTGGGTAGAGTTGGCCCAGTGGGTACGTAGTCTATTTAATTATTCATTCCTTCAGCAAATGTATACAGTATATATAAATGTATGCACAAATGTGGCCCTGGCATAGTACGTTTTGTGTTGTACTGCTCACCGAAAGGTCCACAGTTCGAACCTTGGAAGAAGGAGAAATTGTTTCCTCCCGTCAAGGCATAGAAATTCAACTGAGGCTTGCCATGAGTGGGAACTCATTCAAAACTGTGTGTGTATCTGTGTGCTGTTGTTGCTAGTTGCCGTCGAGTGAGTCATTGTGTCCTTAGGGAAGTGTGGGGAAACATAGGATTAAGCTTTGTCTTGGTGATATATAGTGTATTAAGTGTTGTACTGCAGTTCAGGTTCAAAGTCAGCAGTTTACCAATGACTCCAAAGATTCCTCTTGCAAACATTTATGCCTTGAAACTCAACAGAGGATTGCCATCAACCTGGAATCGATTAAACAGCACGGAGTTTGTTTTGACCGGCTTCCCCCTGGCTGGATGATGGCCGGGTAGGAGGGCGAGTCTCACCTGTGGGGTGTGGAGGTCCATGCGGGGACTCTGGGGCTGCTCTCTGGACATGAGCATTTCAGCTTCATGTTGTGCCCTGGGCCACATCTCCTCCTCACTCCAAGTAACACCTGGGCTCTGCGCACGTGGTCCCAGGTGGACGAGCTCAAAAGTAAGGCTGCGGGAGCCAAAGGCCCCGCCATTCTCATAATCTCAGAGTTCCTGCTCCTTGGCTGGATCTAATTTGATTCTATTTTAAAATAATCTATAAGCTGAAAGTTTCCAGACCTAAGAATTGAATTACAGAGTTTATTGCTTCTGCATCTTACGGTGTTTGCAGAGTACCAGGGTGGACTCCATCCTCCAAACATGAGATTTTATTTCTTCTTTCTTCTCCTCATCCTCAAGTGGGTCTGCTGGCCATGGGACAGGAGGGGAGACATCCGAGGGTCGTTACAGCAGAGCTGATGGACAGTGCCAGCGGTCAGTGTGAGCACCATTGCTCCGTCAGAGGCCAGTTCAAGTCCAGACCACTTGAATCTTTAGTGAGAGTCGGAACCAGTGAGGCATCCTGCTTTGGGGACAGGGTGACAATGGTGCTGTGCATACACTGCGTATTCGATGGCCTATGACCACGTGACAGGCAGTGTTCTAAACAATGCACCCACGTCCTGGGACTGACTTGCTTGCTAATGGCTGACGTGTAATTTCCATCTTTTAAAAAATTTTTTTTATTCTTTTATTATTTTTTGTGCGTGTACTGTCAAATCAGATCTGACTGGTACAGGAGGAAATTGTCCCTCCTTCTCCAAGAGAGCATCTGGTGGATTTGAACTGTCCACCTCTGGGATTGCAGTGCAGCTTCTTGCCACTAGGCCACCAGACCTCCCCAATTTCTATCTTTTTATTTTTTTCTGAGAGAGAAGGAGAAAGATGGTGGCCGTCAGGAGGTGTTTTACTTATAATGGGGATTTCACCAAGGGCCCCGAACACATGGCGTCTACACTCGCCCCACTCCGGGAAGTCATTTGGGGATTAATGCCTGGGTTTCCCTCATTCCTGCTCACCTCCTGGTCCTTCTGACAGCCATCGAGGATTAGCACCCTGGGTACCGCAGTTATGACCCATTGTGGGGCTGTCCTCGGAACAATGCTATTAATATCCCTTTTCATCTCCCTAGGTGCAAATTCTCCAGCCGGTCCAGGAACAAGCTTCTCTCAGCCCGATGCCAGCAGCTGGGGGCCCTGTGGTGGAGGAATTCGCCCTCACTGGGACCAGAGCGAGCGAGACCCTCGACTTTGGAGGGACCCAGAGGGAACGTGTGCCACTGGCTCGAGGCCTGGAGGTAGAAGTCTGTGCTGGAAGCCCAGGGTGTGAAGGTCAAGAGCAGGATGGTGCCGCCGGCACACCCGCTGGCTCCCTGGGAGGCTTGAATTGGGAGCTGAGCATCTCTGACACTGACCGTGAATCCACAGACCCTCGTGAGCACCTGATGACACGCCCCCAGGGTGACCACGCTGACCCCAGTGAGCTCGAGGCTTCCCCGATGCCACAGCCTGGACTCCCCAGTACTGTCCTCACCCTGGAAAATGCATGTGGTGGGCTATGGGTCAGAGAAGCCGTGGGTGACGTGGAGAGGTTTGAACCCGGTGACCGAGGAGCATGCTGGGACAGCACCTCCTCCCCCACTAGCACACTGGGTGATGAACATTTGCCTCCAGAAATGTGTTCCCTGGACCTCGAGCTGGCAGATGGTTGGAGCAGAGGATCTGATTTACACTGTCCTGAGGACAAGATAGTGGACGTGGTTGGTGAGCCTTCGTGGCCCACGTGTGAAAACAGCGAGGAGAGAGACTCAGGGGTGCCACCTCTTTTCGTCAACACGCTGACCTGGAAAATGTCACCCGTGGCCCGAGGCGGGGTCACAGAGGGAGGTGGAGCAGAGGTGGAGAAGTCCACCTGCAGGTTGGCCTGTGTGAGAAGAACTGACCAGGACAGGCTGGACCTCAGTAGCTCTAGAGAATCTCCAGACAGGCAGCTTCTTCCCTCTGAGGACGGCTCTTCTTTGCAAGTCAGAGAAGGAGGTGTGGAGAGGCCCAGCACCAGTGCCACAGACACCACAGATGCCACAGACACATTGGTCAGAAGTGTGGAGAGGCCCAGCACCAGTACCACCGATGCCACAGACACAACGGCCGGTCTCAGTTATGTTGTGATGTCTCCTCAGGAGACAGCAACATTTCCTGTCAATACTGAGGGTCTTTCAGTGAGTAAGGACCGTGAAGATACATCAGCTATTACCACTGCCGTCAAAGTCCACCCAGCCAAGTACTTTGCTTTGTCAATTGCTGAAAACAGCCGGGAAGCTAGTCCTAAGGCGAGCTCACCTCAAGAGTCAGGTAAAGACCTGTGCCAGCTTTCTTCCAGTGCACCTTGGGGCCATATTTTAAATGACTCCACTACTGAGTCTGTAAAGGAGCTGGCCAGTATGGCACCCAATGCGCCAGGAACCCAGGCCTGTCTTCCCCAGCGCTCAGAAGGAGGATCATTCTGGAGTGAGTCCCCTCTTCAGATAGGCCACCATTCTGGAGATAAAAACCAGATGATGGACAGAGCAGACCACAGGAGCCTGGACGAGAATTTCCAAGAAAAAGGAAGTGAAACAAAGCAGAAGTTCTGCCCAGAGTGCCTGCCCCACCAGGGTTCTCTTTTTGAAGATGATTTCCAAGAAAGTTTGCCCGCCACATCCGCTGCACAAGAGGAAACAGGCTTGGAGTCCTTGGACCAGTCACCAGGAAACTCTGGGCAAGCGACAGGGCAGGGCTCAGGTTTGGGCACAAGAAGCTCTGCAGTGGCGGAAGCCATCGTGGAAGAACACGGCCAGGCCCTGAGTGATGCCCTACCTCTTTCAGAATATCTCCTGGAGGAAGCTAAAGAGTATAGACCAGGAGCTGGGGACCCAGGCAGCATGTGGAAGATTCTAACCCTAGAGGCTTCTGTTGCAGAACCCTGGCCACCGAGACAGCTAACAGACTCTGAGTGTGAGGACTCAGGAGCTGTTCCCAGAATTCCTGACGGTGCCTGGGCTGGAGCTGAAGTTCTAAAGGCCGGTGCTTTGCTGGGCCAGCTGGATTCCTCTGAAGAAGCAGCACCAGCCAGCGGTCCTCAGTGTGGGTTTGACCCAAGTCTTGCTCAGAGTAACAGAGAGTCCCATGAATGGAAAGAACCTGTCAGCAGTGATGATGGGAGCAGTCTTTCTCCCCAGTATTTGAACCAACTGGGACCCTTAGAGTCTTCCGTAGACCCTGTCAGTGAAACGGACTCATGTTGCACAGATTCAGAAACATCCAGAACTGCAGGGAAAGGTGTAAACAGTATGAGTCAAAATCAAGAGGGAAACCAGCTCCGGATGGCTCACCCCACATTCTTGAGACAGTGGCTGAGCAGCCCTCAAATCCTGGAGTCTTCCGTAGACCCCATTGATGAAGTGTTGGGGCCTCCCACAGCCGCAGCGGGGCTCAGCAGCGAGAAGAGTCAATTAAAGGATGGAGACTTGGACCAGCGAGTAGAAGTCCAACCTACCGCCTGGCAGGTCTCGTATCCTGAGCAAGGGGGGGAAAGCATTCCAAGTGAGAGAAGCGCCGATCGAAACCAAGATGACCACAGGAGATGGGAGACCCCAGGAAGCAAGACTGACAAGGCAGAAGTGGAAGTCCAGTGTCCTGACGAGGGTGTGGAGACAGTCCCCAGTGCAGGCAGCGTGCTCCATGTCCAAGGAGATGGGGACAGGCGCCTTGGGGAGGCTGCCTGGAGCAAGGCCTACAACGCGGGAGTGACGCCCCCCACTCTGCCTCTTTCTAGCTCTCTGACCATAAAGGCTCTTGCATCTGTTGGAGATGACACCAATGCCACAGGTCAAAACCACGATGCCGTGAAACATGATGCTGCAGAGCCCAGCAACCATCAGTGTGACTTTTCTGGCTCAGAGGAAAAGAGGGTAAATAGTGAGGATGAGGGGGCTCAGCGTTCGCCACCTTCTGGTCGTCTGACTCGATCATCTCTTCCGTCATCGCCTGGAGGAAGCAGCATGGACTTCTCAATAAGCAACAGCCTCGAGGAACCTAACATAGAGGACCTTCACTGTGGGGAAACCCAACGCTCAGACTCACCCGGCTCTCCAGCCACTCCTGAAACATGTGAATCAGCGAAAGCTCCCAAGTTCCTACAGGACCCCTGTCCACGGGCCCCCACACCCGGCAGCATCAAAAAGCCCAAGGAGGAAGAGACATCTGGCTGCCTGGTGACCAAAGTGGGTAAATTTCCTGGGGCCCGGCCAACAGGGACTGGGTCCGAGGAGGCCAAGAAAAAGCAGGACTCCGCAGGGAGTGGATATATAGCTGAGGGAGTTAAGAAGAAAATCCTGTCCAGGGTCGCAGCCCTGAGGCTGAGACTGGAGGAGAAGGAAAACCTCAGGAAGACGTCGAGCTTTCTGAAGAAGATTCCGAAACTTGAGGCGTCCGTGTCACACACGGATGAGAAGAAAGACCATAAAAAGCCACCTTGCAAAAGAGAGGGCAAAGGTGAGCCTCCATGGTTCTTCGTCCCAGTTAGTCTGGGCTGGGCTGGTTGGTACCACATGCCCTGGCTTGGCCTCTGTGCTGTCTGCTGGTGGACAGTGAGGCTGTGGTCACATCTGAGGCCTTTAAACACAGTCTCTATATTCTCAGACTTGAGTACAGTTCAGTCTCCGGGCTTCTGGGGGCCATGTGCAAACAGAGTGCCAGGCTGACCCCAGAGCCCTGTTCAGTGGGACCAAAGTGGGCTCAGAGACTTGCCTTTCTAACAAGGGATCAGGCTGCTAGCTGAAAGGCTGGTGGTTCTAATCTGCCAGTTGCTCCTGGGAGGATGGGCAGTCTCCTTCTATAAAGATTTACAACCCCCAAAACAAAGTGGAGAGTCACTGAGTCAGAGCCAACCGATGGCAGTGGGCGCGGGTATAGTGACCAGAGCATATTGATAATGAGGAACGTCTGGGACCAGCTCTGTGTCACCTCCCTGCCCATTCAAACACCAGGGGACAATCTGAATTGTCCATTTCTAGATGAATAGACTTGACAGACAGCATGAGAAGCACTTTTGATGCTGGTAGTAGCTCCAGGTGGAATTCCAGGCAGCAAAGCAAAGCAACCATCCACACTGCACTGCTGGCTGGTACGGGGGCCTCTCTGCTGGCTCATGGTGCAGTAGCTGCAAGTGGGGGAACTTGGTCCATGATAGACTGGCACCAAGCTTCCCATCATCTCTGGCGACCCGGCTATCACGGAGTCACCTCCACTCTTGACGACCTCATGTGTGTCAGAGTAGAACTGCTGGCCAGGGTTTGCGGTGGCTGTTTTCAGAAGTCAACCACCAGGCCTGCCGTGTGAGGCACTCTTGGAGGGCTCAGACCTCTATGATCATTTGATGAGCAGCTGAGGACTCGAGCCATTTGCACCACCCAGAGATTTTCTGCCCAACAGATTGTCTTCCATCCCAGAGAGAAAGCTGACGTCCACCTGCTGGGTGGCAAGCCTGGCCTTTCTAATGTTTCTACTGCCACCCAGTGGCTACTCTGGCTAGTTACACATGAACCCTGGTTTACCAAGCTGATATTTCTCAGAAGCTATCTGGGGTGTTAGCCCTGCTCCCGGGGGGTCCTGTCCTTGTTTGCATTGCTTCATTCTCTCTCTTGCTAGCGAGGTTAACATCATTACTATCATTCCAGCCTACAAGAATATTTTCACCAAAAACAACAGTAATTAGAGAGGAAAAAAACATTTTTTTTTTAAAAAAAAAAAAAACCTATTGTTCAGTTGCTTTTCTAGCTTGTAGAGCTTAACCACAGTTATCCCGACAATTCAGACAGCATTCTGTGCCTTAAACCCCAGCTCTGATTTTTTTACCTGACTCATCTACTGGTCATTTAAAAGCATCTTTATTTGTCCCAAGTCATCTAGATGAGGCATCTCCACTCTCTTCTTAAAAAACAATAGTATCTGGCAAATGCAAGGTTACTTTATGCCTTACAGATACTAGTCAAAGAATTTTAAATCTGAAAAAAAATGAGTTTTATATTATTAGAACAATCTGTTCCTTTTCCTTCTGTGTAGATAAGCCACTTCTCCCGTCAGACCTGTTTCCTGATCCACAAATTAAGGATGATAATTATTCTCCCTGTCTCTTGAAATTGTGAGGGAATGAGGGAAGAGAAAATAGGGAAGACTTTTGCCAGCTGTAAAAATGCTTTGCAATAAATTGTTGTTGCTAATAAATAGTGTGATAATAAAACTGTAACATCAAACCAACTGCCCTTAAGTTGGTCTTGACTCCCAGCAGCCCTGCAGGGCGGAGTGAAACTGTCCATGGGGTTTCCAAGGCTGTGAATCTTTATGGAAGCAAACTGGCATATCCTCCTTGGAGCACCTGGTGGGTTTGAACTTCTGACCTTTCCCAGAGCAGCCCAATTCTTCCACCACCACACCCCCCAGGGCATACTGATCTGCAAATCTCTTGTTTCCAGCTCCTGAATTACTGAAAAAGATCCAAGCCGAGATGTTCCCGGACCATTCTGGAAACATCAGACTGAGCTGTCAGTTTGCAGAAATTCATGAAGATTCTACCATCTGGTGGACAAAAGATGCCAAGCCAATAGCCCAAGTACAGAGAAGGTGCAGTACTTGCCCCAGTTGCCTCACACTTGTTGATTGTCATGACACCACAGCCCTAGAGGGAGGTGGTACATTATCAGAGGTGAGAAGGGAAACTGAAGCTGAAATTCCTCACCCAGAGGACCCAGGCCAGAGGTGGGGATGTGGAGTGGGTGGGTGGGTAGCGAGAGGGATGGTGGGGGTCCTGCTTGGCTCTGCCACCAGGAAGTAGCTGAGGCACAGGAGTGACTAAGGGTCATCATTTCAGGGGTCCTACTGGTTTCTCTTGGACCAGTAAGCCTGCCCTCTAAAATGTTTCACATTTCTGTTCTTCAGGTCCTTCTTCTGTGGTCCCTTGTGGGTGGTCAGCAGGGGTTGCCAGATACCATCTAGTTCTCCATGAATTTTTCTTGTGTGGGTCTTTTCTGTCTGATAAATTCCCATCAACCAATCAAACAAAGCTAAGAAGGTGAATCCAGAGAGGGAGAAACAAGTCACATACACAAACACACACAAATAACAGCTACTGTGGACAGTGACAAGCCATCCGCAAGATGGGAAAAGAATTTCTTTCTGAGACCCCAGGATACTAGAAAGGGCCCTGGTAGCCCAAGGTTAAGCACAGTGGCTCGGCAGCTAGGTGAAAGGTGGATTTGAACTTTCCAGTGGCTCCATGGGAGCAAAGACCCGGTGGTCTGTTCTCATGAAGGTCACAGCCTCGCAAGCCCTGTGGGGAAGCTTTACACAGTCCTGTAGGGTCACTGTGCGTTGGAATGAACTCAACAGGGTAGTGGAGGTGAGGAGAGAGAGGGCAGATCTGTTTGATTAGCAGCCTCCAGATACACCTTCCTTTCTGGCAAGAAATGCTTATTCAAGTAGCCTGATGAGTTCTAGCTTGACCAAGCACACCTGTGGAGGTCAGCCTGTTCTAGAAACCGTAATCTTGGCCCAACACAGCCAGCAGGACTTGAACATCCATTAGAGGTATCTTTGCAAGGAAGGAGCTTCCTCTTCAGTTCCTGGGTCACAGAAGGTGTTCAGACTTCTTACCCTCAATACGAGTAGACGGGAAATGCGAGAAAGTGTGTAAATGTTCTGTTTAGTTACGTGCATCTATCTGAACTGGCATCCAGAAGTCATTTCCCCATTGTGATTATCAAAGACTTGAGTCGTGCTTTCAGATGTGTCACATCACTTCAGAAAATTCTACCTGTACCGTGACAGCATTAACTGCCAAAATGTGTGATTCTTCTGCGTGTCTTCCATATGGTTGAAGAAGGCTTGCCGCAGAGAAGCCGTGATTGCTGGTGGTTCCCCAGCGCTTAATTAAAAAGGAAGCACTAACCCTGCATCTCAAGTGCTTTCCGAAGCTGTCGGCAAGTCCACACAACTCCTCCTTGCTCTAAACTGAGCTGGCTCCTCTACGCTGAGCCGGCTCCAAGCTCACAGTCCCTTCTCCAGTAGCTGTGTGTTTATAAAGCCTAACCTGCCTCTAGGGACCACATGTCGTTAGTAAGCATGCTATTTAAACTTTAGTGATGATTGCTTTGTTTCTCCTGGTAGTACTATTGGTCTCACAGATATTCATTTGTCTTCTCCAGGCTAACACGTGGGACAGTTGCAAGTCCTTTATACCTTTGTGTGTTGAGTCATCCATGCTAGTTTTGGGGAACTTCAGATGATTTCTCTCCACTCAGTTCCTAGTTGAATGCTTCTTTGTCTATGTTCCTCCATGGAACCTCTCACTGCCTGGCCAAGTTAAAATCTCTCAAATCAATAAATATGGATACACTGACAACATCATCTTCAACTTCAAGTTTACAGAGGAAGCTGTGAGATGTCAGTGCTGTTGAAAGGGACCTGTGAGGAAGGGAGGTGTTTACACTTGGCCAAGCAAAGGATGCTGAAATAAATTTGTAAATAGATAGCAAACTGGTTAGTAGTTTTAAGACATAATGAACATAAAGAACATTCGTTTGGGGAAAAAAAAAACACGTTGGTTTGACCTTCGTGCTTCTGAGTTCATATGGAACCTCACCAGGGCTGAATTCTATTAAATATGTCCACATGGAACCTCTAAGTTCATATGAAACCTCACCAGGGCTGAATTCTCTAAGATATGTGTTATTGTTATTGTTATGCGCTGCTGAATCAGCTTTGACTCTTTGTGACTCTCCCTACAACAGACATAAAAGTAGTAAAACTGAATGTTTACTTGTAGTTAAATAATTCAGGTCACTGTTAAACAGTTGAGTCTTGATGGCATAGTGGGGAATGGTCCAGACTGCATATCAAAATGTCAGTGGTTTACATTCCCACCAACCACTCTTTGGGAGAAAGATGAGGCTGTGTCCCCCCGCATAAATACTTATACTCTTGGAAGTCTGATGCAGTTGGACTCTACTCGGTGGAAATTACTTCCTGTGCATCTGAAAGTTGGACAATGAATAAAAGAAAATCGATGCCTTTGAGTTGTGATATTGGTGATAAGGACTGAATAGCCCATGGACTGTCAAAAGAACAAGCAAATCTTGGAGAAAGTACAGCCAGGTTGCTCTTTAGGGGTGAGGATGGTGAAACTTGATCTCACATACTTTGGGTCTGTTATCAGGAGGGGCCAGGCCTTGGAGAAGGTTATCATACTGCAAAAGGTGGAAGGTCAGTGAAAGAGAGGAAGGCCCTCAACGAGATGAGTATAGCAGTGGGCTTGAACATGTGAGAGATTGTGAGGCTGGTACAGGATAGATATGGTCCAGACCCGTGGTTCTCAGGGTCATTGTGAGTCCTAGTTGACTCAAGAACACCCACCAACAGTAACAGCAATGGGTGTGGTTGTGCTTGTCAAACTGTGACTGTTGTTTACCTGCAAGGCCTGAGGACATGGCAATGCTGAGGAAAAACCACACAGAGAGAGAAAGAAAGAAAGAAAGAAAGTGAGGCACAGGGGGCCAGGTCAAAAAGACAAGGCCCTGAGTGTTCTTTTTCTCAGCATATATAGATAATACAAGCATTCCTTTACTATCAGAAAAGCCAGACTTCTTGCTACACAGTTATCTCAAAGACCCTAAAGTAATATATCTAACAGTTATCTCCGGGGCTAGAAAGGAATGCTTCCTTGGATATTCAGGATCCAGGGCTTTTGATGATTTACTCAGATAGTCCAAACACACACACAGGAAGTTTTTCTCTATTTACTGTAAATTCTCAAAGACAGTAGCTTCTCATAAATCTGTATTTCCTCTAAGTTCTCAAGGACTTTAAGCTTTCACAGCTGCTCTTCTGGGTCTTAGGAAGTCTCATGAATGCACCCTGTTTTTTCTTGAGGACACGTCTGTGTGCTTGTTTAGGAAGCTGCTTTCAGCTAAGTTCCCACTGAATGTTCTCAAAGCAGTACTCTTACTAAGTAAACTTGCATGCTGACAGTCAACCAAGGCACAGTGGTTTCAGAAACTCTCACAGGTGGCATGTAAGGGCCATGTGGGCTTCCTCTTGCCTTTGGCCCGTCTTGGGATGCTTTTCTTTAGCAGGCTAGAGTTTAGAAGTCCGATGTCAGAACTCTTTCCAGCGGCCCCAGGTGAGCCAAGGGATGATGAGAAGGTGCTAGCTCTGAGTGCTGGTGTGAAGGAGCAGGTCTTGTCTCCAAATGAACCTCAAGCTGACCTCTCATCTGACCTTCTTGGAAACCACTCTCCCCTCTTGCTTGGCAGGGAGTGTTCACGGTGCCCTGGGCTTTTGAGAGGGCAGCTGTGTACACAGAGGAGACTGGTGGGCAGGTGGGCAAAGTCTTGGAGATGGGTCACATCATTCCTCCTGGTTGTTGGTCTGGCTACTGTGGACTCAGTCTGTCATTAGGCAGTGGTTGGAAGGACCACCCAGTGGCTTCTCAATGCAGATTGGACAGTGTACAGCAGCGATGCCCACCCTGCCTGGCCTCAGGGGCTGGTGAGGGATGCGGACTCTCCTAGTACGCCTTCACCTCCGCGTGGTTTGTTCTGGGCAGTTGCTCTGCCTGTACTCCTGTTGGTCTTCATGACTTGCTTTCTCCAGCCAGCCCTTTCTGCCTGTGACCAGTTCTTCCATAAAAGTAAAGCGATTGAGCCCTTGACGGGTAATAGGCAAAGAAACTGAGCTTCTGACTGTTGATTCAGGAAGATCTGGGGTCTCTTCTCTCTCTGCACAGTGTGTGCTGATGTTTTCTGGTTGTCTGTCTCTTCACACTGGAAACCCTCAGGGGGTACTGATGACTGTGCTTTAAAACTTCCTCATGGAATTTTCCAGTACTGGATAAGTAGCAGATGCTCAACAGATAGAGAATGAACTCTTGGGAGTCTTAGGCAATTTTGTTTGGTAGAAAAGACTCACAATGATAAACTCTACTATAACATAAAATTACATATATTTTAACATAAATATAGATCTGTGTATACATCCACACACATCTTGTTTTGTTGTGATTCACTTTATTGCCCTTCACACAGATACTTATTTTTCTAGATACTGCCTTTCTTTTATTTTTAGTAATATTATTATTATTAATTTTAATGAAAATTTACAGAGGCTTTGGATTTCCATTCATTGATTGTTTACACTTTTCTCCCTACTCACCACTTATCCCCAGTTTGCTCTTCTCTTTGAAGAGTAAAACAGTTTCATTGTTACACAATCTCTCCCTCCAAGTCCACTCTACTATGCAGCTTTCATTTTGAAAAGTAAAAGAAAAATTCTTTCATTGTTATACAATCCCTCCCCCCAAGTCCACTGCACTGTGCAGCCTTCTTCTGGACTCCTGTCCTGACAATAATACCTAATATCCCTTTGAAACAGTTCTCTCCCTCATCTGTTTCAACGCAGTACACATAGTACACGTAATTTATCCCATCTTTCTCAGTCTCCCTCCAACCCTGATGTCAGTCCCATTTTACAACAGTGGCACAGTCTTTCTTTTTTATAAACAAAGTGACGGTTTGTTGCAATCATGACCACCAAGTCCAAAAGCACCATTTTCCTAGCAAGCTTGCATGCTCACTTCGTGTCCCTGCTTCATATTTTAGCCATTCTTGTAATATTTTAAATTTTTCTCAGTGTGGGAGAGGAAGACGGTGGATGAAATTGTTTGATACAGTGACTGGAAATGGGCAGGTGTGTCACAGACACAGAGATTAGTTCAGGACAAGACAGGGTTCAGAGCTATTGTTAATTGGGTTATTATGAGTCATAGTTGATTTGATGGCATATAATAATAACAATAACATAATCGCACACTTCATAGACTACAGGATAGTGGAAAAGTAACTTTTATATACACCAGAAAAACAAAAAATTATTTATTTTGTTTTGATGTTTGCTTGATTACAACAGTCTGGAACCCAACTCACAGTGTCTCCAAGGCCTGCCAATGTTATCATTATCGAAGTGATTATTATTTAATCAGCTCACTGAGAGCATTAGGTCAGAGAAGGGTCTGTTTCTTTCACTTCTAAGTCCAGTAGGAAAATGCACCTTTAAAATGATGCTGTTCATCCGTGTTCACATCCCCATTACAGCGCAGGTGACCACTCCATGGTGTCCTTGGCCATCGTTCAAGCTGGACAGAAGGACCAAGGCCACTACTACTGCTGCATCAAGAACAGCTACGGGAAAGTGACCACTGACTTCAATCTCACAGCCGAAGGTAAACTCAGTGTTTCGGTGGCCCCTGAAAGCCTCCCCCTGGTTGGAAGGTGCTAAGACTTCTCTCCTTTGTCTTCTAGTTCTCAGGCAGCTCTCAAGTCACCAGGATGTTCGAGGTAAGCCCTTTGATCCTTAGAGAAAATGGACCATGCGGAAGTGTGCCTGGGTACCGGGGGCAGGTGGACGAGTGACCAGTGGTGGCATCTGAGAACTAGGCAGCAGAGCCCTCAGGGTGCTGTTTCACACTGCTTGTCAGGCCCTGACTTCGCGTTTCAATCTCGTCACACTCTGACGCACAGACGCGCATGGTCTCCAGAAGGGCCTGGACCTCAGCATGAGGTCAGAGGGTGGAGGGGGACTTGGAGGGAGATTTCTTCCTTTCATTGTGAGCATCCAGGGTGTGTCTGTTGTTTGGTAGCATTGAGTGGACTCTAACTCGCTGCCTCGCTCAGTTCAGCAGAAGACACTCGTGCTTGATCCTGGGTCACCGTCACCATCGCCAGGTGCAACCACTGGGTCAGCCCATCTCATTAAATATTGCTCTTGTTTGCGGACCCTTCCCCTTGCAAGCACGATGTCCGCAGGCAGCCCTGCTGAGCGCTGGCCAACAGCACACCCAAACATGTTTTACTTCCTCCATTGACTTCTCAGTCTGACCAGCTAAGCCGATGCCCAAAGAATCAGGTGTCCAGGAGATTCACTGCCTTCAGTTGTAAAGAAAAGAAGAAGGTAGCAGTTGGGCCTTCCTTTTGACACGTGCACTCCATGTGGGGTGGCAACACCCCAACAGCAGCCTTTGAGCCTTCTGTCTGTCACCAGGCCACCCAGCCAATATAGTGTGATGTGTGTGTCCTTGAGAGAAAATGAGCTCCTATATACACCCCGGCTTAGCACATATCCTTACTCCTTCATGCGTGTGCACATGTGCGCGCACAAACTCTCTCTCTCTCACACACACACACACACACACACACACACACACAGAGCCACCATCACCTGTACACACTCACAGTCCTTCACACACACTCCCACACCCACTGCTACCCACACTCCTACATACACAATGCTTTTTTCCCTGTCAATTTTTTAAATTTCTTTTTAAGGTTGTATATTAATTTTCATACACAATTTGAATACATTGTGTTTCATCACACTTGGACTCAGAGGTGCTGGAAAGTCTCTAACAACCTGCTCAGGTGTGTAGAGTCCTTATTGGCTGAGTTCCCAAGTTTCCACCACATCCGTGCTCTCACCCTGACCCGTTTTAAACACAGCACTGTGGAACATGGGTGCCTTGCTCAGTTCTGAGAGCTGCAGCTGCTGCAGCTGTTCCCACAGCCCCGCCGACCTGGTGGGACCACACTTTAGCACAGTAGGACCTTCGGTAGATTGGCTAGACGGTGCAAATGGTCAGCACACTGGGCTCCCAAAGGCTAGAGGTTCTCATCCACCCGGAGGCACCGGGAAAGAAAGGCCTAGTGATCAGCTTCTGAACCCTGGGAAGCAAAGTTCTGCCTTTTCACCTGTAAGGGTGCCGTAAGCAGGTGTTGACTCAAAGACGACCAATTTGATTCGCTTAAGGATCCATTTTAGAAGCATAAACTCTGATAATGGAATTGATTTAGTATATTCAGGATTTACCTCATGTGCTGATTTCCAAAGCAAACAATACCTGGCAAGGTCAGAGAAACAGGAAAACAGAGGTCACCATTGTGCCATCCTGTCCAGTGTCCAGGGAGAGGCCTCAGAGCAAGACCTGGGCACAGTCCAGCGGACGCTGGGACATTCATCCACAAACAGTGATGGTAAATACAAACACTCCACAAAACCACCAAACGCTAAATACTGGTCCTCAGTGTGCCGTAAACGTGGGGCATAATCTCTCTCCTCCCCATTTCTGTTCTCTCTGCCCTCAAGCTCAGATTACTCCAAAGAACCCTTTCCTCAGACTTCAGAAACCCGAAGTGCTTTGGGAAGGAGCCAAGCTGTTTCCTCGGCTCCGTAGCATTGATTGACACACCCCCACTGCAGGTCTTCCTGTTACCTCACTGGTTTATGTTTGCAGGAATAGATCTCTCGGGATTTTACCAACAGGAATGAAGCCTGAGTTGGGTTAAGCCTTGTGGGAATGGAGCTGCTGGTCTACTCCTGGACTCTGTCCTGAGGCTCTGGGGCTCAGTCTTGATGACAGCACCCCTCCTCCACCGTAGGTCCTTTATCCCCTGTGCCTGGGGGTTTCTAGCTTTAGTGGCCAGTCCCTGGCCCTGCCCTGCCCTGGGACCTTCAGAAGATGTTAAAATTACTCCTTTATTGTTCCTCATCTGGAGCAGTCTCTCCGCCCCCCCTTCTGTACTGCACCCCACTCCACCCCCCCTTACTAAGGGTTTATTAATTTCATTCTCTATAGGAGGAACAAATTACATTTTCTAAGGCAGTCTCTAATTAAAAAAAAACTAATGAAACTATGCTTAGGGGAAAGCCTGACATGAATGACAGGCTGGAGAAAATGCAGGCTCGCCCAGCTCAGCACGGCGTCTGCCTGTTATGAATGTGTCTGGGGACGTTCTTTTCACCCGTAAGTCATCTTTGCCCTGAGTGGCTGCAGGGACCTTCCTGTCTCTCTGTAGGATCTCCACAGCTGTGGACACAGCAGAGAACCTTAGCCAGGTGCCTTGGGACCCCAGTGTACGTCTGCCCGTCTCTATCGGATTGACTGGGAATAACCCCCCGGTTCCTCCTCATGCTGTGTTCTCCCTTTAAGATTCACTGGGCAGCTTGGAGTTTGCATTATAGCAAGGACTGAATCCTGCAAAGTCTCAGGGGAATGTTCCCCTTCTTCCAAACACTACATTTGAAAGACCACATTCCTCTCTTCCTTAGGCTCAGCCATTGAGAACGCCATGGTGCTCCGTTCTCCTCTGAGTGGGAACACCATGAGTCAAAGCTCCACAGCAGCTGGTTTCAGGGCCTAGAAGTCAACCTTGTCCTTGTACTTCGCAGGGATCTTAATTAGTCTAGTAGCAAGATCAGGGGCGAGTCTGCTGAACTCAAACCATGTTGTGTTTTAGAATATGAAGAGATTGAATTCAGCCAGCTCATCTTTAAGGAAGACTTCCTCAGCGACAGCTACTTCGGGGGCAGCCTGCGGGGTCAGATCGCCACGGAGGAGCTGCACTTTGGGGAGGGGGTCCACCGCAAGGCCTTCCGCAGCACAGTCATGCGGGGGCTCACCCCCGTGTTCAAGCCCGGCCACGCCTGCGTGCTCAAGGTGCACAACGCCATCGCCTATGGGACCAGAAACAACGACGAACTTGTCCAGAGGAACTACAAGCTTGCTGCCCAGGTAGGTCCACCTGCCTCGGAGGGGTCAGTCACATCAGGTATGAGCAGGACTCACGACAGTCTGGGCTGAATCTAAGACCGAGAGCTGCTGAGGACAGGATTATGAGGGGCTTCGGGAGGATAAGGCCTTGGTTTTTTTAACTTGCTTCCCATGCACCTTAGTTGGACTAAGGAATGGCAGCTGAAGAATAAATGCATTTGAATAGTGAAGGACAACTGGGGCGCTCCTTAGAGGCAAGAATGGTGAAACGTGGTCTTGCACACTTTGGGGATGTTGGCAGGAGGGGCCAGGCCTTGGAAAAATGCATCGTGTTGGGAAAGGTCAGAGAAATAGAGGAAGATACTTAGCAAGGTGGATTGACGCAGTGACGGTAATGATGGCTTCAAGTGTAGTAGAGATGGTGAGGGTTGTGCAAGGTCCAGATCTTTGTTCATAGAGTTGCCATGAGTCAGAGCTGACTCGACGGCACCTTCTGACAACAATAACAGGGAGCAGAGGTCCACTGGTGTACTCCACCCACTGCAGTCAGGTGGAGACTACGTCTCAGTCTCCAGGAGGAAGGAACTTCTCTCCCCCAGCCAGTTGCTGGAGACTGACTCCTCACCAGGCCTGGGCTTACTTCTTCTCCTCAGAAGCCCCATGAGAACCCTGGCAGTTTAAGTCCCATTGGACATCAGATGCCATGAAAAATGGAAGATTTCTAAATTGAACACCAGCAAACCTATCCTGACAGTGTTTCTGGAGTGTTGTGATTGTTTAGGGTGTGTTCAGAGAGTTAGAATCTGTCCTTGTTCCTTCCCTCTTGAGTTTGGTTCAGCGTCAGTCTGTAAGTTGGTCAGGGTTATTGTTCGAAGTCTCCCGCACTCCTACCTATGATCTTGAGTCTCAGAACTCTTGAGGGTGGAGAGAAGGATCCTGGCTCCTCTGTCCTCAGTCAGCACTTCCAACCACTCAGGAGATTCAGACCAGCCCTGACTATGTGCCTCTCCTTTTTAATCCATAAAATGAATCGGCTAGACTTTGGTAATCTTGTGGTACATAAAGCATTACCCATTACAAATTTCTCTGATGTGGCAGTTTCATATGGGAGGACTCTGTGCACGAGGCAGCCCTTTCTCTCCAGCTATGTTTAGTTTCCCCCAGACACACGCTCCTTTTTTCCCTGAGCATTCCTTTCATCTCAGATACCATCTGGCCTAGTCATGGGAAATCCCCTAGTGTCTAGATTTGGAAATAAAAATCAGCATATTTTTCCCAAGTCAACAGTCCTGTCAAACAGTTCATTATTCACCACTCCCATTGTACCTTTGAAGGGGCGTCTTAGATGGAAAAACCAGTGAGCTGCCTCTTCAAGAGGTCAGTTACCTTTGGTCAGGGGTGAACTAGATCCAGGCTCATTCTAGAAGTTTATTATTCAGAGACCTGACTATGGAGACTACTTGACTTCTGCCTGGGCAGTTTTTTTAGGGCTCAGAGCTGTTCAGCAAGTGGCCAGCACTGTGTTGTAATAATTGTTGCTTCTGTGAAACACAAACCATAGAGGGAAGCGGGGAGTACAGTTTGTTGTTGTTGGGTGCCATCAAGTCAGATCCAATACCTAGCTACCCTGCATGCAGCAGAATAGAGCAGAGCAGAGCAGAGCAGAGCAGAGCAGAAGAGAACAGAGCAGAGGAGAACAGAGCAGAGCAGAAGTGGACAGAGCAGAGCAGAGCAGAAGAGAACAGAACAGAACAGAATGCTATCCAGTCCTGCACCTCAGTCTCAGTGGCGCTTGAACCCACTGTGCCTGTCACTGAGCCAAGGCATCTCATCGATGGTCTTCCTCTCATTTGAATTGAAGGGTCACCTCACTTTTCCAAGCTTGATGCCCTTCTCTAGGGACTGGTCCCTCTGATAACACGTCCACAGTTTGTGAGATAATATCATCACGCTTTCTTCTAAGAGCTCTGCTATGCTTCTTCCAAGGTATATTCATTTGTTCTTTTGGAAGTCCAAGGTCATGCAATACGCATCACCAACACCACAATTCAAAGGCATCAATTCTCAAGTAGCCAGTGCTGCTCCCTAGTCTGCCTTAATATAGAAGCTCTGCTGAAATTCACCACCCTCCTCCAGGGTGACTCTGCTGGTATTTGAAATGCGTAGACATACCTTCCAGTAACAACACCAAAGCCACCACAGAACAGCAAATCGACAGACAAGTGGTGATATGCGAATGGGGAGTACGTAGGCATGACCTATATTGGGAACTGTCCCAATTATTCTTACCAGACAAATGTCTATTTGAATTGCTTCTAATAACTTGGATTTCCCCATGCTTTTGGTGATACAGGAATGCTACGTTCAAAATACTGCCAGACATTATGCCAAGATCTATGCCGCTGAAGCACAGCCTCTGGAAGGCTTTGGAGAAGTGCCCGAGTAAGTGCTGCCCTGCCTGGTGTTGCTAACGTTAACTTGTTGACTGGGAAGGGTGAAAGGGAAGGACCAGGAGGGATGAGTGTTCTGTTTGATCTCTCTGCCCAGGAACTCCAAGAGGTAACCCATAAGGGGAACTCTGGTGGCCTAGTGGCAAGAAGCTGCATTGCAATCCCAGAGGTGCACGGTTCGAATGCACCAGATGCTCTGCCGGGAAAGGAGGGACAATCTCCTCCTGTACCAGTCAGATCTGATTTGATGGTGTACACACACACACACAAATAATAAAAATTTAAAAAAGAGGTAACCCATCCTGTTCATGGGGGCTATCCAAGGAGCTCCAGAGGTTGGCTGAGAGGTACTGGAGGAATGTGGATGGATGAATATATAGATGACTTGATTAATTTATTAACTGTATCTACCATACCATCCAGCTGCTCCGTGTGGGAAGGATGGGCGATCTCCTCCCGAATGATTAACTGCCTCTGAAAAGCCGCCAGAGAGTCAGCTCTGAGTCTGTTCCGACTCTATGGTACACAACACCGCACCACTACCATACCATAAGGGGGCTCTGGGTACGGTCTGTAGGGAGGGGCGGTGTAACCCCCAAGTGGTACCAGTTGGAATTGATCAGAGGAGAAAGATGGGCATTTCCCCTCATGTGATTTACAGCCTCCAGAAACCCAGTGGAGGATCAGCTGTGAGATGGCTCTGAGTCGATAACAATGATATTTTTGAACTTGATCATACCATAAGCTGCCCCAGGAGCGGGGTACATAATGTCTGGCTGCAAACTGAAAGGTGGGCAGTTTGAATCTACCAGCTGCTCTGCTGGAGAAAGACAGGCGTGTCACCTAGAAGGGCCAGTACCTGGAAGGACATCACAGTTAGTGAGGGGCAGAGAATAGAGGAAGTCCCTCTGTGAGATGGATTGATTGACATAGTGACTGCAACCGAGTGGGTTCAAATCCTATTGTGAAGATGGGACAGAATCAAGCAGCTTTCACTGTTCTACATGGAAGTCCTTAGACTCAGAACCAGCAGGATGACAGCGACCAGCATGTTTCTCCTCTCATGGATAATACATTGTCTGAACAATCAGCAACTATAATAGAGCAAGAGGTGTCAGAAAATGATGAGTCCTTTGATAAAAATAAAATGTGATGCTGTATTCTAGAAGAATGAGTTGGATGGCCTGGAAAGGCCTTTCTGAGATGACGTTTAAACTAAGAGCAAAATGATGAGAACGAGCCAATTCTCTGAAGATCTAAAGAAAAGATGGTTCACAGGCTCAAGGGCAGGGAGCTTGGCATGGTCCAGGCACAGGAGGCCACTGTGCTTGGATCCCAATGAGAGTGGAAGGAGGCAAAGTCAGAGAGGTGATCAATAAGTATTACTAATGTGTGGGGCAGAGAAGGGAGTATGAATCTAAGGTTCCAACTTAGGAGACAGAGTAGATGATACTGTCATGTCAGGATACTGAATCCAAGGAGTTGACTCATGGATAGGTGTCTAGGAGAATCATGAGTTTTCCAGATGCCACATTTAAGTTTGTGACATCTGGTACATCAAATGGTAGCAGACAATTAGTCATGTAAGGCTAGAGCTTAGAGACCAGAATGGAACCAGAAAGCTATACTTGTTGGTCTTACTTGTTAGTAATGCAGTCAATATTGGAAGTTGTATTCTCTGATGTTGGGTTATGTTATTGGGGTTTACCCCTCCACAAGTGGGTGTCAGTCGGCCTGGACTTTTGCCCTAGTTGACAAGGACCTAAGGATGGTGAGTAGTCAACAGCATTTGCTGGGTGTGTCTTTAAAGTCCCATAGGGATGGGTGAAGTCTGCGGCTGGCCTGGAGGCAGCTGCTCTGCTGTGGCTCCACTCTTGAAGTCTGGTCTCTTGCATCTTGATGAGGGTGACATAAGGGAAGTCTTGGTTTGTGTTTGGTCTGTGTTTGGCTTGGGTTATTGGTAATGCAATCAATATTGGAAGCTGTATTCTCTGATGTTGAGTTATGTTGATGTTCTTAAACCACATGCTTCTGGAAACTCTACAAACATAAAGAAATGATGTTAATTATAGAAAAGAGTTCAGGTCTTTTGTTCATAGGGTTGCTATGAGTTGTATGATGACACTTAAGCTAAGTGAGACTAGTGTTGTTATGTTTTGGTGGAAGATCCTTCTACTTTGTACATTACACCTTGTCAATTTGCTGTACTGAAGTAATCTGGGTTTGCTGTGATGCTGAACCTTGTACCATTGGGGTATCAAATACCCTAATGGTTTATCATTGTGGACAGTGTTTGGTGGAGCTTCCAGTGTAGGACATGTTTGGAGGCAGGAGTGGTATCCACTTCCTAAACCACATGCCTATTTGGAAACTGTATGAACTTGGAGAAACTACAATGGTTATAGAAAAGCATTATTAGGTCTTTTGTTCATAGAGTCACACTTGATTTGATGGCAATCAACAACAACAACAACATTTACGTTTGTGACATCTGTGGTACATCAAACGTTAGTAGACAATTGGTCATGTAAGGCTAGAGCTTAGAGACGAGAATGGAACTAGAAAGCTCTACTTGTTGGTCTTCAGAGAGATGGTGTTTGTAGTTGTGAAGATGGTGAAACCATCCACGTAGAATATACAGAACAAAGAAAAGAAGAGAACCAGGGATGAAACTTTGAGAAACACTAGCATTCAGAAGTCAGAGCAAGTGTTCAAAGGAAGAGCTATTGGTTAATGCTGGGAAAATTCTACCAGGAGGACAACGGACAGTGCTATCAGGAGAGGGCATGGTGGTCAAAGCCGAGGCAAAGGAGTGGCTCCGGAGCATAGGGGTCAGCAGTGCCATCCAGGCTCCTGGGTAATTGGAGGTCATCAGAATGAGTGCTCTCAGGAAGCAAGGCTTTGTCACACGAGAGGTCATGGGTTCTAGGATGGAGTCTAAGGACACAGATGGAGGCTACCTTTTCAAGAAGTGACAGGAAACAGGAAATGGGAAGGAAACCTGGGGATGGGGAGCCCCCTCCAAGGAAGGTAGTAATGGTGATATTGTTCTCTAAATTTTATTTGTTTTGTTCTTTCTTATAATTTACACAGCAAAATAGCTGCCATTTCAGTTAGCAGTTTCTGCATGTATTATTTCATGGCACTGATTATATACTCGTGCAGCCATGCTCATCTGCCTTCCTTGAGTTCTGACTCCCACATTAACGTGAACCTACAGCCCCAGGAGATCTCGGCCTAGCTTTTCAAATTATTATTAACAAGTTAACCAAAAGATAATTTTTAAAAGACTTTTTTAAAAAACTAGTTAACCTATCATTTGTTTTTAAGAAAATGTCAAAGGGGAGCTCTGGTGGCCTAGTGGCAAGAAGCTGTAACTACAATCCCAGAGGTGCACGGTTCGAATCCACCAGATGCTCTGCCGGGGAAGGAGGGGCACTCTCCTCCTGTACCAGTCAGATCTGATTTGACGGTACACACACACAAAAATAATAAAATAAAATAAAAAGAACGTCAGCCTTAAAAAAAAAAAAAGAAAATGTCAAGAGATACTTTGGGTTTGAAGTATATGTAGGAAGCTCTGGTAGCTTAGTGTGCAGAAATTGTGCTGCCAACCCAAAGGCTCGTAGTTCGAATCCACCAGCAACTCTGTGAGAGAAAGATGGGCAGTCTCCTCCCATACAATTAACTGCCTCTGAAAACCAGCTGGAGGATCAGCTATGAATCAGTTCCAGCTAGATGGTGCATACCAACCACAATATATATATCTCGTGTAAAATGATCTGACATGTAGAGGCCACTTAATTGAATTTGTGAGGTAAACGGAAAGAAGGTAAACAAGAGAGGAAGGACAGGTATACGCATGGAGAGGTGAACGGTTAATGAATGAATGTAGGGTTGCATCTGTGGATAAATGGATGGATGAAAACCTAGATGGGTGGAGGGCTGGTTTGTTGAATTATAGTCATCTGACCAATGACTCATTGAAATATGACTACAAAGCAACTATTCATGAACAAAATTAAGCTCATTCCGAGGAAAGTTTCCTAGCCAATTCTTGGAAATACAGAAACACATCCTGTCTAGTCCCAAGGGAAAGCTGTGGGGTGAATCTAAAGGGTGCCAAGGATTGAACCTGCGGCCCCAGCTGCTCCAGGTGGAGTAGAATGCACCAGGTTTCCTCCCATCTGAGGACCTGATGTGTCCATCTTCTTCCCCTCACCAGGATCATTCCTATTTTTCTCATCCATCGGCCCGAGAATAATATCCCTTATGCGACAGTGGAGGAAGAGCTGATTGGGGAATTTGTGAAGTATTCCATCCGGGATGGGAAGGAAATCAACTTCTTGAGAAGAGAGTCAGAGGCTGGTCAGAAATGCTGCACCTTCCAGCACTGGGTTTACCAGAAGACGAGTGGCTGCCTCCTGGTTACGGACATGCAGGGTGAGCAGGGTGATTGGACTCGGGTGCCAGGGATGCAGTGGGCCTAGGTGGGTGCTGGGGATGGAGAGGTGACCAGGGAGAGGTCAGTGAGGGCAACCCCAGGTTGCCTTGACATCGTCACCAGCAGAAGCTGTGATGAACATGTCTTAAGAAACAAGGTTTGACAAGGGACCTGAAATAAGCAGCACTGTGGAATCATAAGGTGCGTGTTAGCCATGCCTTCTAATGCTGCCTTCCCATTATAACAGGTACCTAGAGGCTGACTTTATTGGTATGTCCTCAACAGGCACAAACTCACAAATAGATCTGAAAATCCACTGAAGAGGCTTCGGTGCCACACAAGTGTTTACCAAAGAAATGAGAAAATGGTCTTAACAGGCACCTACAGTCTTAGGTTGGGTTCTCGAAGGAAGCAAAGTCAGTGATGTTTACAGATAGATATGTAGGTAGGTAGGTAGGTAGGTAGGTAGGTAGGTAGATAGATGATAGATAGATAGATAGATAGATAGATAGATAGATAGATAGATAGATAAATAGATAGATATAGATAGATCAAGGAAATTGGCTCATGTGCTTTTAAAAGCTGGAAGGTCCCAGTTCTGCAGGTCAAACCTCTAGAGAGAAGCATTTGGGAGGCTGATGAATCCAAGTCATCTCAGACTGCTGGCTTCAGAGGCTGAAGTCCACAGTTAACAAGGACAGCAACCACTGGCTCAGTCTTGGAGGCCAGGTGGCAGATAGCTAGATGTGGAGAGGGCCAAAGCTCTCTAGCTTTTCCAGGGAGTCCACAGTCATTCAGTACAGATCCCACGCCTAAAAAGACGTGTTCTTCATTAGAAGAGGCTGATTATCACACTGGTATGTTTACAAACACTTCATAATTATAATTTTTAAAGAATTTTGTTTGCCCTAGACTAGAATCCATATGTAGTCTTATTTCCTTCTGAATATAATTTGTACTTCTCAACAAAACACAAAATTATAAGGATGAAAATAAGATTGACCTCGATATCATTCTCTAGAAATAATCCCAATACCATTTTGATATATTTTAATCTATAAATGTAAATCTTTGTCCAGATTTCTGATTATTTTCCTAGCATAGAGTTAGTAGAATAAATGTTTTCAATATTTTAAAAATCTATTAAAAGAAAGAAAGAAAAGGCTGGTTAAATCTTTATAGTTAAAAAAAAAATCTTTATAGTTGTTGTTGTTGAGTACCGTAGAGTTGGAACCTACCCATAGCTGACCCTTCAATGGGTTTTCAGAGACAGTTTATCTCACAGGAAAAGATTACGTATCTTATTCCTCAAAGCAGCTGGTGGATTCAAACCTCTTACCCTCTAATGTTGCCTCATTAACATCACAGAGGTTATAAATTACAACACGTGGGATGGTTACATTATTCTGAGGAGCATGGTCAGATGGACACACAAAATTAACCACCATGGTTACTTAATCGATTATGGAGAACTCCGGTAACAGAGTGGGTTAACTGTGGGCAGCTAACCCATAACGTTGGCGGTTTGGATCCACGAGGTGCTCCCTGGGAGACAGAGGAGACTTCTGTAAAGATCATAGCCTTGGAAACTTGATGAGGCTGCTCTGCTGTATCCTTCAGGGAAGCTCTGAATTGGAACCAATGGATGGCAATGAATTCTTGAGACCGTGTCTAATTAGACTCTGGCTGTGCCATTGCAGACGCGCCCTGTCTTTTCCTCCTCACAGTTAGTTTTGCATTACACATCTTCAGCTTTCCACTGGAAAACAATCCCCTGGGGCACATGCACTGCTGGTTTCACTCCCAGGCGCTTGTCAACAGCTGTAGGCGGGCACCCATCTCTCCGTGGGTGGGGCGTGCAGGTCCAGCCTTGCCCAGTGTCCTGTGGGGACGCACTGCTCTGTGCGGCTGTGAAAACCCTTCTCATTGTCTTTGTAGCACAGATGGCATTTCCATTTTCTAGGCAATCTTCACCTGCTATAATTGTACAGAGGCACTGAGATTAAAATAAAAAATCAAAACCAGAAGCAAACCCAAAGGACCCAGCTCAACCCTTGGTCTCTCAGACTCTGAAGGCAGTTGCTTGGTTCCCAGATGCTGCCGGTTCTGCAGGGTCGTGGGGTAAAAGCTGAGCCTGTGAGTGGTCCCTGGGGTCGTCTCACCACTGACACCACTCCTGAATGTCCAGAAGATCCAGGGACTCATACTCTGGAAAAGGCACTCCTATTGCTGTTAACTTTCTTGTTGTCAGAAACAACCTACAGATTTCTATATTCGCTAGCCCAGCTCTGCAGCTGCACATCAGAATGCTAATTATTAACCTGTAATTCAGCTCTACTTCATTGCCATCAAATTGCAGCCAACTTATAGCTGACTCTTTATGGGGTTTCCAAGATTCGAAATTGCATGGGAGGGGGTTGCTCATTTTTCTCCCTTGGAGCTGCTGGTGGATTCGAACCACCGGAGATACACTGCCTTTGGATTAGCTGCACAGCTCCTTACAGACTGTGCTACCAGCGTGGCTGAATTGCTGTCAATGTTATTAAATCAAGAGGGATGTTTCATTTTGAAAATTACATTCTGTTTTTCCCCCCTTAAACAACATGTGACATCTGGTAATTGGGAGAAGTCAGAAAGATTGATTCCCCCATTCCAAGGACCTTTTGCCAAATGACATTTTGAAATTGGACTTGCATGCAGCTTGGAAAATAGAGCTGTGATTTTTAAATACAACTGGCCATGAAACATGATGTCCAGATAGAGCTTTTGCAATTTGGTATCTGGGGTGGTTTTTTTTCCCTCCTGAAGCACAGACCCTGCAATAAAAATGTTGTGAAGCGTTTCCACATATGGTCTTGCTGTTAGGAGCTTTGAAAGAATGAGATGAATTAGTCTGCAGCTGTGAAGGAGGCTTTTCAAACGCTTGCTGGAGCACCCAACGCGCCGTGTCTAATGCAACTCACAGGTGCAAGCAGGGAAGCCCTCTGGTTGCATTTGTGGCCAAGTAGGCTGAACAGCAGCTCGGCCAGGCCCCAGGCAGGCGCTGCTGCACAGGACGTTAACCCTTCGGCCCTCTTGTCTGGTGCTCAGGGACCGTGGAGAATCACAGGGCACCATAAGGGAGTCCTGGCGGTGCAGTGGTTAAGCTCTTGACTGCCAGCTGGAAGGCTGCAAGTTTGAAGCCACCAGCTGCTTTGCAGGAGTCAAGACCTAGCAGTCTGCTCCCCTGAATGGCAGCCCAGAAAGCCAGCGGAGGAAGACCTTCAGCGAGATGAACTTGGCACAGTGATAGCAGCACAGGGCTTGAGCGTGGCAGAGAGGGTGAGGAGGGCATAAGATGGGCAAGGCTTTGATCTGTTGCTCATAGAGCTGTGGCCAGTCAGCTTGACAGCACAACAGCACCAGGGCAAGGAGGGAGGCCGGGTGGTGTAGTGGTTAAGGTCCTCTGCTAACTGAGAGTTGAGTAGTTTGAATGGTCCCTGCACTGATGGGGAGGCTACTTCTGTAAAACCCCATGGGGCAGTTCTTCCCGTCAGACAGGCCCAGTATGTCCAGATCGACTCACTGAGTGAGATTATAAGGCCAAAGAGATTCTGCAAAGGCCGAGAGTTTGTGGATGCTCAGGGCCTCAGTCCTGGTGAAGGATGTGGGATGGGGACTGACCTGGGTGAGGGATGCGGGGCAGGGACCGGTTTGGTGGGACGAGGTGGGTCTGCAGGTGCTGCAGGAAGGAACCGAGGATGGCAGGATCGCCACCCAGGCCTTCCGCCAGTCTTTCTGAGGAGCCCCTGTAACACCCTATCTTTGCTGCTTCTTCCTGTAGGTGTGGGGATGAAGTTGACCGACGTCGGCATAGCAACACTGGCCAAAGGGTGAGTAGGAAAATCCCCGAGTTTACTTCGTTACTGCTCGGCCTCAAACACCTTCCCACAGATGCCGTCAGAGCGAGTGGACAAAGCAGATTCCTCGTCCTGACTCTGGTGACCGTGTCCCCGTCCTGACTGTGTCCCTGTCCTGACTGTGTCCCCGTCCTGACTGTGGTTACCATGTCCCCATCCTGACTGTGATGACTGTGTCCCTGTCCTGACTGTGATGACAATATTGGGATAAATTCCGCTTCATTGTCTCAGATCAAATATTTATGGGCTCCATTCTCAAAGGGAAACACATTTGCTCCCTAACTTGGAACAAATGAGAACTCTGAGAACAACTTTGAATATTAATTACTAGCAGGAGTGCCTGGAGCTGGATGTGGGGGGTGCCAGCATTACTTGGACTTCCTTCAACTACAATTATTCCTTCCCCCGCTCCAAACCTTCACTAACATTTAATAGAGAGCTCTGATGGCCTAGTGACAAGAAACTGTGCTGCAATTCCAAAGGCACACAGTTTGAATCCAGCAGTTGCTTCGTGGGAGAAGGATGGGCAATCTCCTCCTGTGTGATTAACTGCCTCTGAAATCCCGCCAGAGGGTCAGCTATGGGTCGATTCAGACTCAATGGCCCATAACAACGTTTACTGGAGAGCTCTGGTGGTTTAGTGGTAAGGAGTTGCATTGAAAACCCAAAGGCACGGAGTTCAAATCCACCAGCCTGCTCTCTGTGGGAGAAAGATGGGCAGTCTCTTTCTGTGCAATTTACAGCCACTGAAAACCTGCTGGAGGGTCAGCTCTGGGTCGGTTCCAAGTCAGTGGTAGACAGCAGCAGCATTTAAGAGCTTCCTGATGCAGTGTGTCTTAAGATTGTTTTTTGCAGTTGAGCACAGTGAGTTTGCTTTGCATGTTTTAAATGTATTTCTCCCCAAATGCACTCCCACGAAGATAGTGCTCAGAGCAAACGGGGCTGGGGTTGTTACTCGGCGTGGGTGCTGCTGACCGTTTGGCCTTCTGAGTGTGGGGAAGGGTGTTACTGTGCACAGCCCAGTGGCTCTGTGCTAGAATTAGAATGGGGATCTTTTTCAGCCTTTACTCTCCGACACACCATACTTATGTGTGTGTGGTAGAAACTAAAGGATCAATCCTATTACTGTCTCATCTATTTAGACTCAGTAAATATATGGGCAGCAGAACATTTGCCATCATAAACATCTCTGAAGTAATAATTTAACGACACTCGCGTAATGCTGTTTCTCTCACCTGTTGCCATGAACTGTTTCCACGTTTTCCTGTCACTGTCTGTGAAAACCCATTGCCCTGGGATCTTCCTAACAAACTGAAAGCAAGTTCTTTGTGGCGGGTTTCCCTGGTTTATTCCTCTGTCCAGACCAAGGAATCTTGCCTGGGAGCCCTCTTAATAAAGCTGCCTTATGATGTTGTTGTTGTTATGTGCCATCGAGTCACTTGTAACTCATAGCGACCCTATGTACAACAGCCCTAAACTCTGCTCTGTCCTTTGCCAATCGCAGTGTCTCCGACACACCCATCCCAATCACCCCAGTCACTGAATCAATCCACCTCATAGAGGGCCTTCCTCTCCTGCGCTGTCTGTCCCTCCACCCTCCCAAGCATGATGTCCCTCTCCAAGGACTTGTCTCTCCTCACAACATGACCAAAGTATGTCAGCCTCAGAATCCTAGCCTCCAAGGAGCAGCCCGGTTTAACCCTCTCCAGGACGAATCTGTTTGTTTTCTTGGCAGTCCATGGTATTCTCAATACTCTTCTCCAGCACCACAGCTCAAAGGTGTTGATTCTCCTTATCCTCCCTAGTCTTTGTCCAACTGTCTGATGCATAATGAAAGAAAAAAAGAGGAAGAAAAAAAAGAAGGAAGGGAGAGAGGGAGGCAAGGAGGGAGAGGACAAGTTCTTTGTGGTTTTGGGTGAAATTAGCATCCCATGTTGGAGTTGTTCTGTCTTTCCCACTACCACTGTGGCCAAGTGTAGGTGCACCTGAAAGTAATGGGCAGAGGGTGTGCATGGCTGGGAAGGGTGGTGGGCTTTCCCCCAGCTGCGCCTTCTCATCCACATCAGTTTTCATTTCTAGCCATCCACAGATGCTGTAAATGTGCTAGTTTCCAGCTTTGAGGAAGGATGGAGGAGAGAAGACCCCACCCCTTCTAAAAGAAAACCTGTTGTCATGGAGACAGTTCTGACCCCATGGGAACAAGTAGGGTCTTCAAGGGCTCACATCTTTACAGAAGCAGGTTGCTGCATCTTCCTACCCTGCAGTGGCTGGTGAGGTCAAACCGTCCACCGGCCAGTTAGCAGCTGAGTGCTTAAGTACTGTGTCAGCAGGAAAATGTGAAAGGGGACAGCTCTTGAGTTTGGTGCCCTGATCATGCACTTGACCCTTGTAGTTTGCACTGACCGCATGAATCTTTGGCCTGACTCAGAACCGAGATGCAGCATGACTGCTCTTTTGACGTGGGTCTTCTGAAATGCTGCTCGGTCAGCGTGTATTTCTGTGTTGGGATGACGTCTGTGCTCCTCCCCAGAGTTGAGCAGCGGCATGTTCCCTGGAGAATCGTGGTGGTCTGGGGAGGGGTGTGGGCAGTGGTGGTGAGGAGGCTGGGGGGGGTTAGAGTGGTCTGCCCATCATAGGCTTCTGGGCTCCTGCTGGTGGGTGTGGGGGTCTGGTGAGGAGGCTGGGGGGTGGCTAGAGTGGTCTGCCCGTCACAGGCTTCTGGGCTCCTGCTGGTGGGTGTGGGGGTCTGGTGAGGAGGCTGGGGGGGTTAGAGTGGTCTGCCCATCACAGGCTTCTAGGCTCCTGCTGGTGGGTGTGGGGGTCTGGTGAGGAGGCTGGGGGGGTTAGAGTGGTCTGCCCTGTCACAGACTTCTGGGCTCCTGTTGATGTGGGTATGGGGGTGTGGTGAGGAGGATGGGGGTTGGTTAATGTGGTCTACCTATCACAGACTTCTAGGCTCCTACTGGTGGCCATCTGTCTTGGCATCATACAGACCTGTCTGGTCTGCCTGGAGGCAGGGTCACCACATGTCCCACTTGCCTCAGACAGAACCATGTTATCCTTCTTGATGGTCTAGCATTCCATCTAATTAAGCGTCTGTACTGGATAAGTGTGTGAGGAATATAAAATTCTTTCTCTCCCCAAATGGTAAGAGTCTGTCAAATCAATTTCATTCTATGCCATTTTTGTTTTAACATTGAGAACAGGGTCACCTCCTGTGACCCTGTCCACCCAGAGCTGAGTCAGATATCATAAGACAAAGGCGGTGGGGGTCCAAACTGCTGGTCAGCGTAAGACCTCAGGTGTCACAAGCTTAGTATTCCGGAGTCCCTCACTTCTGACCTGCTGGCTGCAGACTTGGGGCTCCTTTACCACCACCCAGGATACAGCCATAAGCTCAGGACTCCTCAGCCCCTCACTCCTGACCTGCTGGCTCTCACTACTCACTCAAGTTCAAGACTTTGCTAAAAAGACTCATAGAAATCACAGAAAGCACCCTCCTTAGGCTGAATTGTGTTATAGACAGATACAAAGGAGAAGATAAAAAAAGTCAAGTCCAGGAGTGTCCCTGATACAGTGCTTGTGTCGCCAAGGACAGGCTCCTTCTATGGGCAGCGTTGCCCAGCACCAGGCAGGAAGCTCTTGGGCACCTGCTCCCAGAGCTCGTACTGAGGACTCAGTTCACAGACGTGACTGATAGAATTACACCCCCCTCGGGTGCTCACTGGCCAATAACACCACACTAGGTGGTCTTGCCAGCCTGGCGAGCCCACCCCTTGCTTCTGGTCATTTCATTAGTGTCAACCCTCAGGTGTGGTCTGAAGAGATCGTCATAGCACCTCAATCACTGAGTTGGTCTCAGGGATTTAGAATGTGCCTCCCAAGCGACCCAAGACAGAGACGAAATTCTCTGGTTAAAGTAACTGTCATCTCTGACGTGAATATGCTCAGTAAGGAGATAATTTCATGGAAGTCCCTATCTGTGAAGGCCTCTGGGCCCCAGGAGGATTCCATGGGTACCCTCTAGTGCTGCACAGGACCTTGGACACTCAAGGCATCAGACAGACCTGATTGGAATCCTAGCTTTTCTTTGTTTTCAGTTCTGTGGCCTTGAGAACACAACTTGAGGGTCTCTAAGTCCCTGACTAAGAGAATGGGGAGGCAAGGGGCTCCCCCAGTTAATCTGTATTTAGTGTCTGGGACAAGCTGCTTCTGCTCCCTCATGTCTCAGCCCAGTGTCAAACCAAACAAAAGCCCTCTGCCCTTAAGTTGATTCTGACTCATAGCGATTCTAGAAAGTTCTTGTGGGTCAACGGGAAGGAGCCTCATCAACCCAAAGGTCCACAGTTTGAACCCACCAGCTGCTCTATGGGAGAAAGATGGACAATCTCCTCTCGTGCAATTTACTGCCTCTGAGAATCCACTGGAGGGTCAGCTCTGGGTCATTCCCACTCGATGTTACTCGACAGCAACAACATGGTGTGTCCCTAAGTATAGGACAGACCAGAACCACCCCTCAAGAAGGTGGGTTGACACAGTGAATGTAACAGTGGCCTTGAGCGTGGCAGAGATCCGGGCAGGGGGCCGGGCAGAAGGAGCTTCTGTTATTCATGTTGTCAGTTAACCCCAGCACCTAACAAAAACACAACAACCCCACAGGGTGTCTGAGACTGCAAATCTATTTTCCCTTCCCTTCCCTCCCCTCCCCTCCCCTTCCCTCCCCTTTCCTTCTTTTTTTTGTGTGTACTGTCAAATCGGATCAGACTGGTCCAGGAGGAGATTGCCCCTCCTTCTACAGCAGAGCATCTGGTGGATTCGAACCACGTGCCTCTGGGATTGCAGTGCAGCTTCTTGCCACGAGGCCACCAGAGCTCCCTTGAGACTGTAAATCTTTATAGAAGCAATTATCACATCTTTCTCCCTCAGAGCCACTGGAGGATTCGAACTGCAGATCTTTTGATTGGCAGTCTAATGCTTACCTACCATGCCATCAGTTCTCTCTTGCCCAGTACTCGTTGTTATGTACCACTGAGTCAGAACCTACCCATAGCTGACCCCCTGGAGGCTTTTCAGAAGAAGTTAGGGAAGAGATTGCTCATCTTTCTCCTGAAGAGCAGCTGGTGAATTCGAGCTTCATGGCTTTGAGCTGGCAGAGCAACTCCTTACAACCGGAACCAGCAAATTCCACACTATGAAATAAAACAGCAACTTTCTACCAAATCAAGACAGAATTTGCGAAATGTCGAGAACTAAAGACAAGCTGAAGAGCATGATTGTTTAAGACATCTTTTGAAAGTATGTCAACAGCTTCCAGGAACCCAGACCAGCTGAGAGCTTCAGAGGCGCATTGTTCCCCTAATTGAAAAGGAAATTCAATGCCTTGATTTCATTCTCAGCTCTAATGGGATAGGTCTGACCTGGGACCACTGCCCAACAGCCATTAGAAGAGCTGGGGGCTGGAGCCCAGCGTGAAATGTTGTCTCTGAAATGTGGCTGGCTGGCTCTAGGAGAAACCAGGGTGGCAGAGCTGGAAGAGGAGTCTAAGGTGCTCCTGAGCTTTTGAAGGGGTATTTTAGTCATCTGTCTACTTCCACTCTCAACTTTTCTTTAAGCTTTCTCTTTTAAGTCACCAGAGGTTTTTCCCAAGAAAGGAAGCCCAGTATAGTCAAATGGTTAGAGGAGGACTTTATCTAAACTGCAAGGAACCCTGCTGGCTTAGTGAGTTATCTGTTAAATTGCTAACCAGAAGGTTGATGGTTCGAATTCACCAGTCACTCTACAAAGGAAGGATGAGGCAGTCTCTTCCTGGAGAGATTCATAGCCTGGGAAACTCAGGGAGGGTCACAGTGAAGGAGATGTGACTGGACAGCAGACTGGGATTTTCTTTAACTCAAGGGAAATATCCGTCAACATGAGTTCACGCCAACTTGTGGTGACTCTCATGTTACTCTGTAGTTCACGGACTTTTCAAAGACAGATTTTTAAAAAGCCAATCACTAGACCTTTCTTCTGAGGTGATTTCATGTGGACTTGAACTTCCAGCCTTTCAAGTATGCTAGCCATTGGTTCCCCTCAAGGACCCAATAATGACAGCTACTATTTTGTGTTGTTTAAGGTGGAAAAATCTCCCAAATTGAAAAGCCAGTCTTTTTCTTTTTCCTTCCTTCCTTCCTTCCTTCCTTCCTTCCTTCCTTCCTCCCTTCCTCCCTCCCTTCCTCCCTCTCTCCTCTCTTTCTTTTTTTTTCCTTTTTCTTTCTCCTTCTTTTTTGCCAGCGTGGTCAAGCTCTTTGGGGAAAGAATAGCCACTGTGTCATTTAAAAGAAAACTTCCCTATGTCTGAATCTGGGCCATGTTTTTGGATGCTGACGCTCCCCCTTTAATGACTTCCTTAAATGAAGTTGAAAGACACACTAGTATTTTTAAAGGTAGATAGTGGCATAGTGGCAAGAAGCTGTGCTGAAATCCTGAAGGCACATGGTTCAAGTCTGACAGCTGCTCCACCGTATAAGGAGGGGTAGTCTCCTCCTGTGTGATTAACTGCCTCTGAAAACCTGCCGGAGGGTCAGCTATAGATTGGTTCTGACTACGGCACACAACACCACATCAAGTTAATTATAATATCAAAAAAAGAAAATAGGAAACAGGTTCCGATTTATTCATTTTCATTCCATTTCACCTGTTAGTGGAGCCTTAAAAGAGAAGCGTAGAATCTTTCTCCTGGGAGCCCACGGTGTGAATGTATCTGGAATCCCGAGACAGACACCTTAATACCCTTAATCCTGTTGCACTGTTGAATGCAGAAGATCCAATTTACAAATCAAATAGGACTGTTGTGATATCTCATTGATACTCATTGTATGGGTAGACCAAGCTGCAAACTGGGCAATTTAATACAAGGGGAAAAAAACACTTTATTCCTTAACTGGAAATTTGGAAATGTTAATCAAACCAAGTCCAATCCCATCTAAACTCCCACATGCAGGGGGCCAGTTCTGTCAGGGGGTCACCTCTCCGGGTCCAGCCTTGAGAACCATCAGCTCTGGAGGGATGGCGAAGCTGTGATGTAGCCACCAGAGGGCACCAGAGTCAGCGCTTTCCCTTTATATACAGAGCCTGGTGGCGGAGCCCATGGGAAATGGCTCAGACCTCTGTGGTTCGAATCCACAGGAGAAAGATGGACAAGCTCTTCCAGCATGATTTACAGCCTCTGAAAGCCGCGGGAGGATCAGTTATGAGTCGGTTCTGACTTGGTGGCAATGAGAGAAAACCAAAAATTGCCATCGTATCAGTGTTCACTCGGAACCACCTTGTAGGATAGATAGCACGGAGTTGCCCCAGCGTTTCCGAGCTGAAACCCTGATGAAGTAGACGACCACATATGTCTCTCTGTAGTTGCCAAAAAGCAGATTTCCTGGTGCTGGATGGAAGTGAAGTGAAGTTAAATCTCCCAAGGGTTTTCTCCCCCAGTTGGTAAGCACTGGGCCAGAGGAGGGAGGACAGGTCCCAGAGGACACCCTCAGTGTGACCACCAGCCGGCGTCATCATGCCCCCAACCCTACAGAGAAAGTATTATGAGGGTTTACTGACTTGTGGCACATTCCTGACATGCAAACTGAATTCAGGGATCATGGGCAGAGCTGGAACCAACCTTCCCCAGTGGAGGGGCAAATGTGGGATAAGATTCAGTTATTAAGGCTGACTGGTGACCAGGACAGTTCCCTAGAGAACTTTCTTTTTATTTATTTATTTTTTTTCCCCCTAGAGAACTTTCAGGTCTTTTCCTCAGAGACAGAAAAAAGAGGAGGGAGGAAAATTGAATGCAAATTTTGGTCAACCTGAACTCCCGAAAAAAAAAAAAAAGACTATCCGTCATGCCAAATGCCACCCATGTGCCCACAGCAGAGGACAAGCTGTCACTTGGGACGCTGCTCCCCTCATTGTGACTGTTTCTGCCCAGGAAGGGCCTGATCAAATTTGTAGATCGAAAGAGTGGCTTTTACTAGCCAAGAAACACAAGACACAAAACAGATGTGTGTGTGTATGTGTATGTGTATGCATGTGTTTTTGTGTGTGTGTGTATGTTTGTGTGTACAAATACATGCTATGACTGTGTGCATGTGAACATGTGCATGTCTGAGTGTGGACATGTGAGTATATGCAGTGTGTGCGTGTATTAATGTATACATGGGTAAGTCCCCAAGTACATAAGTGTATGTGCATATACATGGGTGTGTATACACATGTGTGTGCATTTATGTGCCTGAGTGTGTCTGTGTGCATGTGTGTGCAAACGTGTGTGTGTGTAAAGTGCATTTCATGGCAGGGCTTCTGTCACCTGAGAACCTGTAGAAAGCAGTTTTCAAAGCACCAGCCTCACAGGCCTAAGGAGGTTGGCTCAAAACACCCACCTTCCCAGATCTCTGCTCCTGGGAGAAGGTGGGATGTCACAGGAGAACGTTCTTCTGCTAAAGAAATCCTCAGAGGGCTACTTTCTAATCGTGGCTTGTGCTTCATTCCCTCGGGTTGGTCCCTTGACCTCTCAACTGACCAAAATACCCTCAACTGCCTATTGAAGGGTCAGAGCTCTACACACCCATTCCTCACGTGTGGACACAGTTAGGAGGCAAAGACCAGGTTGCTATGACAAAATTGATGTGATGCAAAAATGGAGGATCACAGAAAGGGAGGGTCCTGCATCATTGCCTCACTGCCAGATGACATCAGTACATACCTGTGACTGCATAGCCACTGAGAATCATGACCCAACCAAGGTGACACGTAACAGCCGTCATGGCCAACATCGCCTTCACCTCGCGTCTCAGGCTCCTTCCATCCCGGCTTAAGTGGCTCATGTACAGAGTGGTCAGATAGTAGATTTTTTATTATGGTGGTAAGTGTTAAATGTCAGATAATGAGAGAGTTGCTAAGTGAGGAGTAGGTATAATGTCTTTCAGGCCAAAGGCGCTAGAATTTCCTCATCTTGTGACTTTTCTAGCGTTTGTTACAATGGTTCGTCCTGGTCATCATGACTAAAAAGAAAAGTGTAATGGTGTGTTTGTGTATTGTATCAGGAAGTGCCTAGAGCCCTTGGGCAATCTAGGCTTTAATCTTTGATCTGCATGACAGCAGGCCCTTGTGGGGATGGTTTTTTTTTTTTTATTGTGATAAGTATATTGAAAACAAAACAGTTGCTCTGTGCGCAATCTTCACCTGAGCAGCTCCGTGACATTAAATATGTTCAACTATCACCACTGGCCAGTCCTCTTCCCCCGCCCCCCCCCTTTAACAAAGGTTCAGGGTCCCCTAAACATTTTCTTCTTTTTTCTCTTCCTTCTGACCACTCCAGGTGGCCACACATAGACTCTTTTTTTTAGTCTTTTTAAAAAATTGTGTGTGTGTGTGTACCGTCAAATCAGATCTAACTGGTATAGCTGGTACAGGAGATTGCCCCTTCTTCTCCAGCAGAGCATCTGGTGGATTTGAACCACATACCTCTGGGATTGCAGTGCAACTTCTTGCCACCAGGCTGCCAAGACTTTGATCTCTATGCATTCACATGGTCTAGATAGTTCATGTGAGATCAGACGATATTTGCCTTTTTTAATTATTGTTAAAGTATAGCTCACAAAGCGTCTGCCCTTTCATGGCTGATGCATTTCACTCAGCAGTGAGTCTTTGCCCTCAATCAGCCCCAGCTTTGTTTTATTTTAATTAATAGTGTCAACCATTTGTGTCAACCATTTGTGTATTCTTTCCTACATAATGAATAGATTTCCTGAGCACCATTAGTTTCCCTTTTCAGTTTTTTTTTTTAAACTGGCAGAGCACTCTGCTTAAAATGTCATCTTTCTTTCCACCCAAATTCCCAGGTACAAAGGATTTAAAGGCAACTGCTCTATGACCTTCATCGACCAGTTCAAAGCACTGCACCAGTGCAACAAGTATTGTAAAATGCTGGGACTGAAGGCCTTGCAGAGCAACTACCAGAAACAGAAGAAGCCGAGTGTCATCATGAAAAGCAAAGTCCAGCCTAACGCCACTCCAGTCAAGAAAGCAGCACCCGGGACCCCAGCAGAAAAGAAGACCTAGCACCTGTTACTCACGGACAGGCAGTGGTATGCAGCACGCATCTTGTGAGTGAAAGTGTGGAAACACTGAGAGGCACCGTGGTCTTCAGTGAGTGATGTGACCGCTCGTATTCCCGGCCCGCCATGCTCCAGGGTGCTTCTGACCTACTGCCTTTACGGAAACGACCTGGGAACTGGACTTGCAGCCAGTCTCATTGAAAGGCTGAGTCGGTTTTCACTCTCCAGGACAGTCCACTCTGTCTGCGCTCTCAGCGTTTCTACCAGCCTCACGTTACGTGTTTATGTGTGTATCTCCTCTTGGTTGTGAGTCCAGGACTTGGTGCTGAGCTGGATCTGTCCACAGCCACACCCCTCTGCCACCCGCATTCCTGACTGCAGGGCCTGCAGATGACCTGCAGCTGCGATGTGAACCCCTTTACCTGGTCGAGGTGTCGCCACAGATAGTGTTGAATATGGTATTGTTGCTGGAGATGGCCTACTCAAACTGGAACCATTTCCTATGAGTCCCCCATGCGGTTCTTATTGTCTGTTTAATTAAATTAATATTTAAATTAAAGTATTTTTTTCCTTTGGAATTTGTGTTACATGTCACATTCCCCTGGGATTTTGAATTTAGCTTCTGAAAAGTCAGAACCTTGGAAACACAGCAGAGCAATTCTGCTCTGCACACATGGGGCTGTTAAAGGGCTGCTGATGTCTAGAGAGGAGTGCTGGAGGCATTATAGGTTAATAGTTGGGCTACTGACCAAAAGGTCGAAAGTTTGAGTCTTCCCAAGGGTAGAAGGGTTCTGAAAAGATGAGGAAGAGTGAATAGGGCAATTGGAGTCAGAGACATCACTGGAGGAAGAATCCAGCTCCTCCTTCATTTTTTAAAAACCTGTTTCTTTATTTTTAATTTTGTGTACCATCAAATTGGATCTGACTGGCACAGGAGAAGTTTGCCTCTCCTTCTCCAGCAGAGCATCTGGTGGATTTGAACCACACACCTTTGGGATTGCAGCACAGCTTCTTGCCACTAGGACGCCAGCACTCTCTTCCTCCTCCGTTATGAGATGTGAAGCAGAACAAGAGTCCCCCACCACCTGACAGCCAACAGGCAGGAAATGCCTGAGCTGAAAGGGGCCTTGTGGGAGATGCCGACAGTCCACTAGTGCCTGGACTCTAGTAAAAGATGCCTGGCTTGGCTCTTCCTGCTTCCAAACACCATTCCCCTCAGGCGTACAGCTTTGGGATTTTTTCCCAAAAAGGGATCATAGACAAGATTTTTGTTTTAAAGGGGTATTTTGAGGAGGAAACTCTTCAGCTAGTCACATTTCATCTTTTTCAGAAATTCTGTCATCACCAGACTTTCTTCTGAAATGATTCCCCTGGCTTACAGATCCCCACATGCTCATTGCCTACAAGGCAGCTATAGTCCACCAGAAAGGCTCACAACAGCCCACGCACGTGACACGTTTTGATCAGAACTCACATAACAGAATGTGATAAAGCCTTCCTGGCAGACCTCAGTAGCTTCTCTAATAAGAACTTGTAATTAGAAAAAACATCAACCCAAGTATCTGGAAAGGTCAAACAGAGAGAGGTAGGTGTAAAACGAAACCCCTCTCATCCTCTAACTGACACTGAGGGAAGACAGCGTAGAGAACAGATTTTCTATTTCCAGAGGTGATGATTTGCTGTCAGCCCAAGAGGTCCCTCTTTTGAGGGTAGTTACCCCTTTCTCGTTTTATAGATGCCTGAGTTGTTTGTAAAGAGTCCTGTTGGTACAGTGAGTAAGTGCTCAGAAACTCATCAAAAAGTCAGCAGTTTGAACCCACAAGATGCTCAGTGGGAGAAAGACAGAGATTGACAGCCTTGGAAACCTTTTAGATGCGGTTCTGCTCTGTCCTGCAAGGGCTCTGTGAGTGGAAATGTGTCGATGACAGTGGGTGGTGGAGGTTAATTTGTTTTCTCTGGGTACCTTCATTGTTTATTCCAATCAGACTTACTCTGTTTTAAAACAAACATTTGGAGAACCAGGGACAGAAGGGAAGCTGCCAGTGGGGCCAGTCTGGCCTCCTATGGGTGGCCTTGTGTGGGGCAGCGTGGCCATCTGTTGGGCCACCCAGCCCTGCATTCTGTGGTATGAACAGCTGTTTTCCTGGTGGACTAGTAGGAGGCATGTGCAATGGGCTCTACCACATCAGAGGGCTCGAGCCAGGGTCTGTGTGCCATGGTTTTAGCTCTGTTTGCAGCATGACCGCCTCCTGTCCATCTCTGTAAGCATCCGGTGTTGTTCCGTTGTTATGTGCTGTCACTTCAATTCTGACACACAGCACCCCTGTGTGACAGAGCGGAGATGCCCTGCAGAGCTCTCTGAGCAGTCACGTTAACAGGAACACATCTCTAGATCTTTCTTGAAGCCATGGAGTTGCCCCCCTCCCCCATCTTGGTTCATAGAGAACTTGGACATGAACCCTGAGCTGGAGATGTCTTTCTGGTCAACAGGAAGAGCAGGGAGACCACCTCTTCTGCCAGTGGGTGCCACGCCCTACAGACTCTGGTTTGGGGTGCAGGGTTAGCCAGCTTGAGTTCAGCTACATGGTGCCTGTATTATATATCCATGCCTCCCCAGGCATGCTTCTGACAATAACAAATAATTCGGACATGACAAAGAATATCAAAAGGAGTACCAATTCTTTTCTAATCCGAAAGTGCTTGCTTTTCCAAAAATACACTCCGTTTTGTGTGTGTTGGGCTTGTGCTGAGAGGGAGGAGCCGGCCAACGCCCTGGCTGGGGCTGGGAGGTTTGTATTCCTTCTGCTCCACTGGACCGCAGGCGCCCAAGGGAACAGCTACCACCTCTCCGCTCAGATCTGCGTGGGCTGCCTGGGCTTTGAAGAATCAAAGATGCCAAATCTCTTCTGGCTCCCAGCAGGGGAAGGGTTTTCCAGCTCATTGCTGGAACAGCTTCGAAATCCTCTGAGGATGGCTTGTTCTAAAACTGCTGTTACAAAAGCTGAAAGACACACTAGAAGTCCATTCCATACGTAGCACCGTGTGGTTGTGTACTCATCTCATGGTGAAACGAGGAAGTGCTTACAAGTATCAGCTGTGCTCGTCGGTCAAGAATTTTCTTTTTAATTCTATTTTTCATGAAAGATAAAAATGATTCCAAATAGAAATTATATCAGGGGCACTTCCCCACACACAAAAAAAAGGCGAAATTTTGTTGGAGCCTTTTTCCAAAATCTTTCAGAGAGGGAGAACTAGTGGCGTAGTGGTTAAGGAGTTGTGTTTCTTAACCCAAGGGCCAGCGATTCAAATCCCTCAGTGCTCTGAGAGTGATGGGCAGTTTCCTCCCATGCAATTTACAGCCTCTGAAAAATGTGTCAGAGACTCAGCTATGAGTCAGTTCTGACTCCACCGTAGTAAGTTTAAAAGGCTTTTTTGAGAGTTTTGTTTTGTTGTGTTTTTCTCAGAATCACAGTCCAAACAAGAGCTCACTGTCTTTAAACTGATTCCAATTCCCAGTGGCCCCATGAGACAGAGTAAACTGCCTTGTGGGGTATCTGAGACTGTAATCTCCACGAAAGCACGTGACCGCATTTTTCTCCTGAGGAGTGGCTTGTGGGTTTGAAACCCAGACCTTTTGATTAGAAGCTGAATGTTAAACACAGTCCCACGGGCGGCCCACTTTGTTCTTGATCGTATCTCATCTGTGTGATCTTGACGAGATAGGACCAGGAAAAGCCAGTGTGTGGGCTTCCATCTTGGTGTCCAGAAACATCAGAGCCAATTCTATAGAACTGTCTCCCCTTTTACCTGCCCCTCTGTGCCCAGTTCTTCCTCTTTCTCTTCTGCATCTCTGTGAAATGACAAGACAATGGCTTGCTACCCAAATGGGTGACATTTTCCACAATATTTTATGTGTGTGCGTACCCCAGTCTTGCACAGGCAGAGCTCAGCGATACCACGGGAACATTTCCATGAGGCCGGTCACGAGCACTCTTTCATTTCCCAGTGCATTTAAGGCTTATGCCTCCATTATTCTGTAGTCTGTTAAGTGTGCTGTGTAGCATTGTGAAGCTGTGTTTTAATCCCAAAGGCTCACGGTTCGAGGCCACCAGCTGCTCCCTGGGAGAAGGATGGGCAGTCTCCTCCTGTGTGATTAACTGCCTCTGAAAACCCACTGGAGGGTCAGCTATGGGTCCATTTCGACTGTATGGTACACACAACAACAAACAGCATAGCACTGTGAAAGCGGAAATGTAAGAATTAGCAGAATGTGACACTGAGATACAAAGCGGGTACGTGCTGCTGGGAAAATGGGGCCGTAGATGACTCAGTCAAGGCCGAGTGGCCATAACCTTCAATGTGAGGACAGAACCCAGTCCCCGTGAAGTGCAATGAAGCAGGCCAGCCTGTACCCCAGAGTGAAGACCAGGCTGGAAGTCCAGGTGAGGGGCAGGAACATAGTGTGACCAGCCCCCCCACCTTGATGCCACCAACTTGTTCGTCTTGTGGTAAAATGTGGCCACAGATAAATGCTCCAGTTCTCGTGAAGCCCCCTCACCACTCACAGAGAGCGAGCCTCACCTGGCCCCTCAGCTCCCTTTTCCTAACAGTTTTCGAGATCTCTCTGTTGTTGGGTGCTGACCTCTGATCCTGGGTGACCTGTAGAATGGGGTGAAACGCCCCAGAGGGATTTCTAGCGTGTTGGTAGGAGGAGCTACTTCTTGGAGGACACATCATGCTGGAAAGGTGGAGGGTCAGCGAAGAAGAGGAAGACTCTCAATGAGGGATTGACACAGAGACTGCAGCCACAGTCTGTCAGAGGCGATGAGGATGGTGCAAGATAGAACAAGGTTCAAATCCCTTGTTCATAGGTTTGTTACACATTGTACACAACTAGACGGCACCTCCCTACAGCCACAACAAAATAATCTTTATGGAAGCAAATCTCCAGGTCTTTCAATCACACAGCCATTGGGTGAGTTTGAACTGCCAACCTTTCAATGA